ATCTGAAAAAATAATGTTGTTAGCAACAAATAATTGTTTAATATAAATTATTTTACCTAAAATTGATGAAGAACGCGATAAAAACTGCACACAAGCAAAATCGACGCGAAAAATTGAAATGTCAAGAGTTGTCAAAAGCCTACAGCGCGCTGTCAAATAGAGATTTCGGCTAATCGATACTTTAAAGCGCTTCAAGCAAGTGAAGTAAAGCTGCCACTAGGCCAACTTTCATACATTTTAGTAGATTTTAAAAATTGTTTGACAGTTCTCAAAGCCAAGCAAGCAAAGCAAGCGTGCATTGGGCCAATACCTTAACACTTATTCTTCTCTCATAGACTTTAATACTACCTTTGCTAATTTAAGACTTAGTCTCTTTAGAATTTTTAATTAAGCAACTGTCCTTAGTCTGTGAGAATTTAACTGTTCAGTAGACTAAATATATAATAAATAAATAAATGAATAAATAAATAAGTACTCCCATAATAAGTATGTCTTTTTCTTTTTGCTTTGTTTTATATAAAAGAACATTGTGTGTATAACTTTGAGTTAATTGTTTTCATAGACAGGGTATACATACCGCCAATTTGAGTTAGTTATACATATATGTGTGTAGGATAGATGCACAATCCATGGTGCCGCTGTTTAATTTGCGTTAAACACATATATATATATTAGTACATATTTTTGTAAGTACTCTATGGCTGATAAATATTATTGTAATGATTATGTGACTTTTTTACCTGTTTTAGTATAATTCTGATGAGGGTGCAATACTAGCACCGAAAGCTAAATAAATTGACATAAACAATTCAATTGGCTCGGAGATATCGCATTTGGTTTCATCTTTAAATTGAAAAAATCCGAGCGGTAAACAATTATTTTAATGTCAAATTTGTATTCTAGCCATTTTCATAGATTCTTTTTTTGCGGTTAAGTCCGGTAAAAAATACTTAAAAAAACGCTGATGCCAAGATATAAAAGCTGCACAAATATTGCCTTGATATAACTTATATCTAGCAAACAAAGTGATAGCTGAACAGCAATAAGTTGTATCCTGTGAAGATGGCCAGTGAAGAAACAAAGCGTTGAATGGCTGCCTTCAGCCGGTTCGGACTTACATAATTGGGACATAGTAACCCCGCACAGCCTTACATTTAATTTTCTTGACATTCTCCTTTGCGATGCGGCAAATTCCAATTGGAAAAATAACGGAACCAGTCCAATTGGCGCAGTACCCGTTATTTTTCCAATTGGATACATAATTTTCCGTAGTGCAAGAGTATAAAACCTGCTGCCAACTTCGCAATCGGTCATTACAATTTGGAATTGACACCCCGTGGCGTGGAACGTGAAAACGAAAAACTAAAAAAAGTACGGGATAAATTATTGCAACCGAAAAGTGAAGTGAAAGAAAAATTGTTTTAAACAGGAACGTGAAAAACGAAAAACTAAAAAAGAAATACGGGATAAATTATTGTGACCGAAAAGTGAAGTGAAAGAAAAATTGTTTTAACCAAGAACAATTAAATCGCTACTAACGCGATAAAAGTGGAAAACTAATAGCGTTTTCAAACATTTTTTTTACAAAGTGCAAGAAGCGGGAAATTTTTCCTGCAGCTAAAGCTACACCCCATATCCGTGCACCACCGAGACGACAACACTTTCCCAGGACAGCGCGCGTTGCAAGGTAAGTATT